TTGAGTTTGCTGTATTACCGTGTGTATGTATTTTGTTCCTAGTGTATATTGTAGATAGTGTAATATAAGCCACCATTTAATATAGACCACTGTTTACTGTATTTACTTCTGGGTTATCTCAGCACAATAAGACTGTGCATGCTCTGTCAGGTTATGGGCCCAGAGTGAGGAGAAACCCAGTGAGAGTTTGACCCAGAGCCAGAGGAGTTAAGGCTTGTGGTTTGTTGTGGTTTGTGGTGGTTTGAAGAAGCAGGCAACATGGCTTCGGTCAGCGTAATGGGAGGAGGTTTCGTATTATATCGTTTGAATGAGACCAACTACCTCTCCTGGAGTCTGAAAATGGAGATGTACCTGAGAAGGGAGGAATTGTAGATGATAATTATTGATCCACTTGCAGCCCTAGATGATGGGGACCAGAGAAAGAATGAGAAAGCATTGGCCAGTATAATCCTGTGTTTGGAGGATAGCCAGCTGATACACATGAGGGGTCTTCAGTCTGCTAAGGAGTGCTGGGAAGTTTTACGCAGTGTGTACGTGAGATGGACTGTGAGCAGTAAAGTAATGCTGACAAGAAAGCTATATAAAGCACAGCTGAAGTCGGAAGAGAGCATGTCTACGGATTTGCAATCCATGAGAAAGACATTCCTAGAATTAGAAGAAAGAGGGGTGACTTTTACTGAGTCACATAAGGTGTATGTGGTGCTCAGTTCATTGGACAATTAGTGGGACATCCTAATGACCAGTTTAAAGTCCATGCAGGAGAAGGACTTAACCATGAGTTATTTGACTGGCCGGTTGCTGGAGGAGGAACAGAAACATCTGGAAAGGCAGCAGAGAGGGAAGTGACGACAACACACAGACCAAGCCTAAAATAGAACTACAACATCCAAAGATGCCAGCAGAGCAGCCGAGAACGTTTGCATGGTGAAATGCTGCTTCATGTGTGGTTCTACAGAGCATCTCCAGAGATGCTGCCCTAAGAGGAGAAGCAGGGAGCAGCAAAATAAGATCATAGAGCTATACAATCGACATTTTCCCTGGCAGCAACTTTAACAGAAAAAAACACTTCGTTGTTGGACAGTGGGGTGGGTCAGCATATTGTGAATAACCCACAAATGTTTTCCAGTTCGAGACCAGCTAAGCATGCATTTGTTAGCTTGGCTAATGGACAACAGTCTGCGGTTAAAGGGGAGGATAAAGTTTATGTACCTGGTATTAGGGAAACTTTGAATAATGTGTTATATGTGCCAGAATTAGACCATAATTTACTTAGTATTTTGAGCTTGGATAAAATGGGGGTATAAAGTAATGTTTGCTAAGGGTCAATATACATAAGGAAAGGTGGGAGGATTTGTGCACAAGGTGTTAAACAGGGTAAGGAAGCAGCAGTAAGATTGTGCACGAATACTCCCAAGCATGATAACTGTGTACATTTATTACACAGAAGGTTAGGACATGCAAGTTTTAAAGTGCTGCAGAGGATGCCAGATCTAGCTGAGGGACTACAAATTAAACAATGCAATACATATTTGGATTGCGCTATTTGCAGGGAGTCAAAGTCTAGTGTGTATCCTGTAAGTAAGAAAAGCATTAGGCAAACAAACAGCGTTTTGCAGTTAGTGCACGCTGATTTAATTGGTCCTATGGTGCCCTCTCTAGGAGGAGCTAGGTCTTAGTAGATAACTACACCAGCTATGGGTTCTACTATTTAATAAAGAGCAAAACTGAAGTTCTTCAACAGTTCAGGCAGTGGGTGAACTTTGTAGAGAGAAGGTATGGCCATAAAGTATGCCAGCTGCAAACAGACAGGGGAACAGAGTTCATGTCTGATAATTTCCCAAGGTGGCTGAGAAATTTAGGCATAAAGCATAGATGTACAAACCCTTACACACCAGCAGAAAATGGAGTAGCTGAAAGAAGAAATGGTATATTGCAGACCATGAAGGATTCACTGCTGGCAGATTCAGCAATGAGTAACACGTACTGGGGAGAAGCCATAAAAACAGCCAACTATTTAGTGAACAGGGTATGGAGTGTTGCTATCAGTGAAACTCCATATTACATGTTATATGGAAGGAAACCTTCATTAGCTCACCTAAAGGCATTTGGCAGTTATGCCTGGGTACATATCTCCAAAGGCACCAGAAGGAAAGGACAGAAAAAGGCCAGGAAACTTAGGTTTGTAGGATATGAGCCAGGTTCCAAGGGATATAGATTTTCAGATGGAACAAGGAAGGATGTGATATCAAGGTCTGCCAGTTTCACAGAACAAAATAATTGGAGCAGGGTGCATGCTAACACTGAAGTGTTCATGCCAACAAGTAGCGTTAGTTCTCAGGAAGGAGAGGCTACCCAAAGCCCAAAGAAGGAAGAACAGGATAGCAGGTCAGAAATAATAGAGATAGATGAGGATAGACCTGAGATAAAAAGAGTAACAGAAACACATGAACAGGTGATACCGAGGAGGTCTGAACGTAGCAATAAAGGTGTACCTCCTGGTTGATTCACAGCAAGTGGGGTTAGAGCATATAGTGTAAGGTATGAATCCCGTAATTATCAAGAAATGTGGGACTAAAAAAAGTCAGTCAGACCTTCTAACTTCTCACAAGATTTTTTTTTTCATGAGAAGTTGGAAGCTCTGACTGAAGTTTTTTTAGTCCACAAACTCTGTTTCCCTGCAGCAGGAGAGAAATGTGCCAGAGCTGGAAAGAATGTTAGTGAAGAAATGCTTTCAGGAAGAGAGAGGAGCCAAACTCTATAGCAGTGCCGGGAGGAGAAGCAGCAGGAAACGGGGCTGCCATTTCCAGAACAGAGAAGGGAGATGCGGGGCAATGCAGGGCGGCAAGCAAGTGCTCTTCTCTGCTCTGCATCGCTGTGCAGAGCCGCTCCCCTCCCTGTTCTCAGTTATCTCCAGTGGTGGCGACGGAGGCCTGGTGGAAGGCGGCCGGGAAGGCTTGCGCTGCCCAGTCACAGTGCAAGCCACGGGAGAGTTGGTGGAGGAGAAGGTGGCTGCCGCCAGGCAGATAATCTGGGGGGTGAAGTGTGAAGAAAGCCCCTCCAGCGGCAAACAGCAGCGGCGGAGCCTTTTGCTGTCACTTCCCCCGGCTCCAAAATGGTGGAGTGGGACCAGGCCTATCCCACCCATCCTCCATAGCATGGCAGTCCGGCTAGGGAAGGGAGTGAAAGGGAAGGTCACCAAGCAAGAAATGGCCTGGCTGGTGGGGCCTTGAAGTAAATAGGTACGGGGCACATGGGGCAGCTCCATCCCCTCCCACACCAGCCTTGCCTCGTTGTGGCAGCAGCATGATGTGCCGTGCGGCCTCCTGCCATGAGCGGCCGCAGCAGAAGTGGACCGGCAGCCATATGGGTGCCTGCTGGACAGGGCTCTTGGTGCCGCCACCATGAGGCGAGGCAGGTATCACAAAAAATATAAGACATCCCCCCAAAATAAGACCTAATGTCTCTTTTGGAGGCAAAAATAATATAAGACTGGGTCTTACTTTCAGAGAAACACAGTAGTTGGAGAACTACTCAAATTCTTTTATTTAATTAAAACACTTAGAGCCTGGTACAGATGCACTTTTCTTCAAACAATCATACAGTTTGTAGTGTACATAGATTTGCAAAACAATAGGATAAAAGAATATTCCTGAACTTTGTTTTATGATTTATCTCATGGTTACTGTGAAATTGTGTGAATGTATCAATGCAGTGCGTGTTATCTCAGCTTGCAAAGCTTGGATTCATTAAATGAGTTTACCAAAAATGTAAATATTGCAGAATATATAGAGCCTCATGCTAATACCTAAGCTCCATTTCATGCTGAATAAACTAAATTATTAATGTATCTCAGATAGAAAAGTATATTTAAATAGATTTTACCCCAAAAGCATTTTATTGACATAAATTTGCTAAAAATCAAAAATATTAAATTTAAATTTTAAAAAAACTGATATTTTTTTTTTAAAAATTAAATTGATTATTATCCACCCTGGTTGATTCTCTTCCTTTCTCTGTGGCTGGCTCCAGTCAGTGTTGAGAGGAGGTCCAGCCTATGCCCTCTGCTTTGTGGGGTTCCACAGATTGGATTCTTGCTTCCTGTTTAACATCTGTGTGAGGTGGTCGGTAAGGTCATCTGACAGTTTGGAATGAGGTATCATCAGTGTGTTGATTATACTCAACTTTATATCTTCAGCCATGACTGCCTCAATGATGTCGCAGACATCTTGTCTGATCATGTGGGAGTCTGAATGTGGCATAATAGGCTTTGGTTTCACCCGAAAAAGACTTGAGTGTTTGAACATTGTGGTGCCCAACATGATCCACCTTAATTCACCCACCCACTCTCCCTCCCTCCCTCCTTCTTTCTTGCATTCACTCACTCGTAATAGTCTTTTCTATAAAAATACATACTCCTTTTGAGCATAATGTGCAAATGAGAATTATAAAGTCAATTGATTCCTCTAGTTCAGTGGTTCTCAACCTGTGAGTTGGGACCCCATTTGGGGTCGATCGACCATTTCATGGGGGTCGCCAAGCAAGGCTGTCCGCCATTTTTTTTGTCCGCCATTTTTTCCCCTTTTCCGGCGGGTGCCTTACCTCCCTTGGGCTGGGCCAGCTGGTAGTCAGCCTGCTCCGTCTCTGCTGCTTGCCAGCTACGCCTCGGCCGGCGCAGGGGGCGGAACCACGCATGCGCGGTGCTCCCGGGCAGGGAAAGTCCTCGACTTACGACCGGCTGGGTAGTCCTCGACTTACGACTGGTTTAGTCTTTGACTTACGACCGGTTTAGTCCTCGACTTACGACCGGTTTAGTCCTCGACTTACGACCGGTTGGGGTCGCGGCATTAAAAAGGTTGAGAACCACTGCTCTAGTTATCTAAAGATAACTGTAAAAATGTTTCAATGATATTTTTCAATGTTTTCAATGTATTTTTAAGATGTTGTCTTTAACTTTTAAGATATTGAATCTAATATACTTGATTTCACAATACTTTACCTAGATCTAACTGAAGGTATAACAATAACAACAGAACAGGACTCGATCACAAAAGCTCAAGGAGATAAAGTTACACTGCTGTGCACATATACTCTCACTCCACCAGATGAAGACACAGTTGAAATTGAATGGAGTCTTTTGCCACCAAAAGGGGAAGAGCCAGTAAGTAGAAGACATTGCGTGGATATAATACTTATTTTGAATTTAGTCTGTGTATGCACTGTAAGTTAAATTCTTAATGAGAATACTGTATCCTTTTCTAGGGCACTTTAGAGAAGTATATTGAACAGATTATTTATTGCTAAGACATACAGTGGCTTAAAATTTATTCTCCACACAAGTCCTAAAAGTAGGTAAAGAAAACCCAATTAAACAAATGAGTCAAAAACATAATAAGCTGAAAAGGTTCAAGAGACTCTAGAGTGCCATTGGAAGGAAACAAAGAATGAATTCGACTAAACACATGTTAAGGACACTGTTAAGGTTTACCTTATGGCAGTAAGAATGGCGAAGTGTCAATACTTCTCTGCCTTTATTGCATCCACTGAATGCCATCTAAACAGTGGCTCTGTTTAGAGTTATCTGGATTCTCATTGGAAAGGATGGCCTGAAAACCAACCTGTAGAGGAATTCTCTGGGCATCTAGCAGATAAAATCACTTGGATTTGCTCTCAGTTGGATACCAAGCATGATGCAAGTCTTGTGGAGATGACACCCTGTTATGCGAATCAGACTTTGATAGTGAATATCCAGAATTACTTTGTTCTTTAAATTATGCAGGACCTCCCATGCTCACCGCTGAAATCTTCTATTGATTAAAACGCTTGACATTTCTCCTTCAAATGAATTGATAATCCTAGATATTCACATGTTTTTGCTCACCCAGAAATATGTAGCTTTGGGCCAATCTTCAATCTTCAATCACTAATTAACAAGTATATTTTTGACAGGGCACTCTATCTAATTTTAGAACTTGTGTGGCGAACAGATCATGTTTTAGACCATATTTATGCAGAAATATGGAAAATTCAACAGAGTTCACAAACTTTTAAACACTATTGTAACTTAACCTTTTCTTTTTTCCCCATTCAGGTTATTATATATAATGTAGGCAAAGTTTATGATACATATCGTATGGTGGGACGAGTACAGTTTGCTAAGCAAAATCCAGCATCTGGAAATGCAAGCATTGATATCTTAAATTTAAAAACAGAAGATGCTGGCTTATACCAATGTAAAGTGAAGAAACTTCCTAGTGTTCAAACTCACAGAGTCAACTTGATAGTACTTGGTAAGGTATTTATGGTTAGCCTTTTTTGTATAGCTCTGTTTGAATATTAAATATGAATATTTAATACATAGGAAGTGCAGTGTAATGTAAAAAATAAAATGCACTGTTGGATACTCAGCAATAGTTTGGTTACTTTTCTTTTAAAATTAGCATATTTGTTTTTTAAATTCTCATAAATTTCAATGTGTTACCTTTTAAGGTTCAAATCTTTTGAATTATGTTCCCATGACCTTGGGAAATTAAAACCAGGAAAAATGATGTACGATGATACATATGCAATGCAAATGATATGTGAATTATACTTTTGTTGTGTTACATAATATGAATTTATGATTGGCATCTGTCATACTGCTCATACTACAGTATTTGACTTTCTAGTAAAATTCTCTGGATTGTGTTACACATAACAGAGTTATGCATATCCCAATCTTTCCTAGCAAGCAGCTATGTTAGTTAAGTATGCTGCTTGAAATTTCTGTTTTTTGTTTTTAGTAGAAATATAGTTTGATCTACTAAGATGAAACTATATTTAACTTTCAAATTTTCCCCTACAAGATTTGTGATGTCTCTTCAGATTCTAAGTTTTGTAGCTAAGCAGTTTATTTGCGAACATACATGTTTCAGAATAAAAGCACTAGGTTGAGTCAATTAAAAATAAACTTACAGAAGAGAACTAGTACATAGAACTAAAAAGAGAAATTGAGGGATTAATATGTTTCAATTTGTAACTTGTTGGTCTTCCACTTATTAAGATTGTCATTCATTATTCTAATATATTCATTATTTCATCCATTTACTCTAGTAGTTCAAATTGACATACAAAGTACACTCTTTACTTTTATCCTAGAAAAGTGGTCTTTGAACTGCTGGGGGGCTGTGATGTCACAAGGGGTCTGCAAAGGCTTGATGCAATCTTGAGTTAAGTCTTGGTGGTCTGTGGCCACCAAGACTTAAAGGGGTCCATGGTGAAGAAAAGATTGAGAACCACTGATAAGACAATAAGACAATGACCAAGGGAGTTTAAATCGTGATCTAATTTAACCTAAGCCAATACCCACTGGTTCTGACATACTATCATCATGGTAATTCATATAATTAGAAATTATATATCTATAATACATATAATTTACTGTGATATTGCAGATCAAAGGCTTGTAGAATAGTAGTAGCTTGGAATGGTCAGCTGTTATGATCTGAAGTGACACAGTATTTCAGCAGGATTATAGGTTGTTATCTCCTAAAGTGGGAAACTTTTCCTTGGCTCGCAGATTAACATAACAGTCCAGGAAAATACATGTTTGAGCTAAGGAGGCACATAACAGGATTATTGTGAACATTATTGTGAACCGAGAAAAGGTTATGGTTTTAGGGTTAATATACAAATATGTGATATAGTTCTGGATTTGGTCTCATACTGTTGGTAATCTCCTGACTATACAAAATACTCCTGGGTATACAAGCAAATGCTAATTAATTTAATCATCATTAAAACTTACATTAGAATATTTATTTGTTAGAAAAACCGATGAAAACTAAATGCCACGTTGAAGGATCACAGGAGATTGGAAGTGATGTTACTTTGAAATGTAAATCCCAAGAAGGTTCTCCCATCATAGTTTACTCCTGGAAAAAAACAACTGGCTCACAAGAACTTCCAGCAACAGCATTACCAAGTATGCTTTCATGTTATTAATATATTTTTCATTGACAGGACTATTACATGTACCTTTACTGTCTTCAAATGCTAAATTAATTTTAGATATAACTTTGAGATAAAAGGAAAAACATTTTCTTTATTTTATTTACCATGTAACTGTCCAAAATATTTCTCAGTGATATATCATCAGAGTTTTAAGTTCTTAAAGCTAGTTGAAAAGGGAAAATAGACTAAAATTTAGCTGAAGGAAATAGAGCTATGGCATTGTTCTCCACTGCTTATTGTTGTCCATATTCTTTTGGAAGGGTTAATGTTCAGGATAGAATATTTGTTTTGTTCCTAAATGGAAGCCAGCCAAAAACACAGGTTGGAATCTGCCATCTTTAATAAGTTGCTTTGCTTCAGCTCCTTAATTCAGTAAATTTGCACACCCTTGCGTAAGAATCTTTAGATTTTTTTAAAACTTTAAATGGAGATAATTCTTTAAGTCTCTTGAGGTAATTATAATATTTCATGAAGTCTTCTCGGTAGTACTTATCCATTTTAGACTTACCTCAGAATGTTTGGACAGGGAGGAGTAGCTTTGCAAAAGACATGGTTGCTCTAGCAATCTCAGAAAAGAAATACATTGAATGAACTTAACATGTATTATGAATTTTCTTGTTTGAAGAATTCACACATTACTAATAATTTTGTAAGGTGATAACAGTCTTTTAGTTTCTTCATCAGAAATCTCTCTCTCTCTTAAAATGTGTATGATTTTTGATTAATTAGTAACTACTCTGATCACAGTAGAAAAAGTGTTCATCTGTAGAAATGCTTATATGCACAGGCATTAGTAGAAGGGCTTTTATCTATCCTCATTCCCAAAATAATACTAATACTCAGTATTAGCAGTAGACTTAGCTCAATAAAATAAGGTATGTTTAAGTAATAAAATACATGAAATAACATTGTTTTTTATTCTATATATTGTTGCAAGAAAAAAACCTAACAAATACCTTAAATATTTACAGATGACATTACAGGTGACTTATTTGTGAAAAATGCCTCTCAGACTTATTCTGGTACTTACACATGTTTGGCTTACAATAAAGTCGGCAGAGATGGATGTTCTGTTATACTGACTATTACACCCCGTAAGTATTAGTCAACAGGCAACAGTGAAGTAATAAAAATAGACATTAGCTAAACATTTATCATTAAAATGTAAAAATTAATTTCTGCTACCTGACATAATTTGTTTTTTGTATTTTAGCTATAGATAGAGCTGGTACTATTGCTGGAGCAGTTATAGGGACTCTTCTGGCACTCGGCTTAGTGGCTTTTTTCATTTTCTGTTTCTATAAGAAACGAAGAGACACAAAATATGAAAAAGAAGTACAACATGATATCAGGTGCAGCATTTTGATTAGCTGAATATTACTTCAACATTTCATTTCTAAAAATGTTAACTTCTAGTAGTATTGATTTATCTACAAAAATAGCAGCTAAATAACAGTGGAAGTGTCTGGAAAATCTTTTGCTTGAAAAAAGGTTTCATATGATTTGTTGTGGTTATACAAAATTCACAAGTTTATAAAATAAAGTGGGAAAATATTGTAATGGGGCTAGCAAGATTTTATTTGTTTTATAAATGACAAAACCTGATTAAAAGGTAGAAACTATTGAGTGTAATTCAATATAAAGAAATTTAGTAGCAATAATAATAGATATATTAATTATTCTAAAAAAAATTAAAAATCTAAAAGAATATTTAATCAACCAAAAAAGCTGACACATTTTAGACGCAATAGTCGATAAATGTTTGTATTTGTTTTGGTGAAACAATATCAGCCTGAAAACCTAATAAGCACATTCTGGCTTCATAAGCCAATAGAATACTGAATAGATACTGATATTTGCCCTAATATCGAAAAGCAGTTCTTCAAAGCCATTTTGTTGACTAAAACAACAAACATCATAAATTGTTATTTTTAGTAGAGCAAGAAAAGGGAATAATTGATGTACAATTTTGTATATAAATATTAATGCTTTTAAATAAAAAAATAACATAATATAATATATATTAGTATATTCTTTCTGTTCTTAAAGAAATTACATTTTTCCCCTTTTCTTCATTTCCTTTATTCCCTGCCCGTGATTTTTTTTTTCTTTTGACAGTGAAACTGCAACTTGGGAGACACTAATTTTCTTAAATTGTCAGGGTAGTGGGTAGCATATAAATTAAACAAATAAATTAATAGTAAATAAATAAAATACATCTTAAATTGCCATATATTTATTTATTTACATTTATTTAGGCTCAAAGAATATAGCTTAGAGTAAATGAGAAAAATAGTTTATGTCACATAGATTTATTTGACAAACATAATCGAATAAAAATAAGGATAGAATAAATCAGTGGCTGGGGAATTATGGAAGTTAGAGTTCACTCATATTAAAGTTGCCAAGTTTTAGAAACACTGTGACAGAGAAAATGAGGTGCCTGCTATTATGGCAGTGTTAGTACTCTTCATTAAATAAATAGTACTGATGGGTGTTTAGTGTTTCTAAAGATTCTTAAGTGAATTCTTAAATATGTTTCATTTTTAGAGAGGATGTCCCTCCTCCAAAGAGTCGTGCCTCAACAGCCCGCAGCTATATAGGGAGTAATCGATCATCTTTGGGCTCAATGTCTCCGTCGAATATGGATGGTTTTACCAAAACTCAATACAATAAAGTGCCGAGTGAAGACTTTGAACGTACTCCCTCTCAGAACCAGTACTTTGATCCACCAAAGGTAGCTGCACCTAATCTAAGTAGAATGGGAGCTATTCCTGTGATGATACCAGCACAAAGCAAAGATGGTTCCATAGTATAACATGACATTAATTTGAAGTTTCACCAGTTCATTACCACATTGATGATTTTTATTAAGTTTGACTGCTTGCATTGAAAGAAGTTGACAGTAAAAAATGTTATCCTCATTTGTAGGGGTTCCTAAATATTGAAATATGAATTTTTGATCTATTAGATATAGTAGATTGTATGATATGAAGCATTTTGTATTTGTTTATATGACAACTGTTACAATGATAGTTTTTCTGTTCACAAATCTGAAAATAGGGACTTGATTCTTGTAATATTGATTTTGGAGTACTTTTCTCAAAAGCTTTAAATATTTAAAATGCATTGTTAATTATGGTAATGCAAAGTTTTTTTGTATTTACCAATTTATGTCCTATCACACACTTTTTCTCCCTTTTTCTTGTTCTTGCTCTCTCCAGTCTTACAGGGTATTGCTTGTTCTATGTCAGACATGTCAAACTCGCGACGTCATGTGACGTTGCACAACATATTGGGACGGTTTTGCCATTGCCGGCAATGGGGTGGGCACGGCTTCTGGATGATGCGTCCGGCACACGGGCCGGCAGTTTGACACCCCTGTTCTATGTGGACAAACCTGTCCTTTCTAGATATGTAATATTGAATGAATTTAGTCAGCATACTAACTACATATCTGATAGTGAAATTAAACCTGAATTCAATCATTAATGACATTTTACAAGCTGTACTTGCCATTTTGAAATTCCCTGCTTTTTATAAAGATTTGTGCAAATAGCTTTTCTATATGGGATCAGAATACTTATGTTTACTTTATAAAATATACTGGAACAATTACATTTTTGTAGTAAAATTCTCTGTAACCCAAGAGCTGGTGAGGGCATTTCCATTATATTAATATCCTCAGTGTTATTGTTTAGTACTTTTTTATTAATTCATCCTATTTATATTTCTCTACTGTTTTAATACCAATAAAAAAACTGGAATACCAAAATGTGACTATCAGCTTAAGCTGGTAGTTTATATGTATTATGTGATAGGTTATAAATTCTTATTAGGAAATTGCTCCCAATGAATTAGAAAGTTTGCTTCTCTTTCTTTTTACCATTCAATCATGTCCAATTCTTGGAAACTGCCTGAACAAGCCCCTGCAGTTTTCTTGACAAGGTTTTTTAGAAACCCAGTGCCTCCTTCCCAGGGCTGAGAGAAAGTGACTAGCCCAAGATCACCAGCTGGCTTTATGCTTTATGGTCTACCTTAATGCTTAAGGTAGAACTAGAACTCACTTCTCTCAGTTTCTAGCCTGATGCCTTAACCACTTCACCAGATTGGCTCTCATGCTTTTCATACATATGAATAATTTCAAAAATTTACTGCAAGAGAAGTTTAAATATTTACATTTGATATTTTTTTTTGAACTAGTGGTTCTCGTATACATGAATAATTGAAAAAATTAAGATATCAAGAATAAATGTTTAAACTTCTCTTGCAGTAACCTCTTGTCTTAACAACCACAGTTGGGATCAGAATTTCAGTTGGTAAGTGATGCAGCCATAAAACAATATGTCACGTGATATCACTTAGTAACCGAAATCTCAGCAATCCTGAAGTATAGGTTATTAAGCAGACAGTGTCTCATGTACCACAATGAATAGGAGGCCTGGTGCAGGCTGCATGCAAGTTGGGGACAGCTGCAGTGTGGTACAAATGTGCTGGAATCCTCAACTTCCCCACCCCAGTCCAGTAGCATGACACAACGGGGCTGCATCCTGAGAAGCCTCAGCTATCTCACCAGGCCAAGCAATGCTTTATGACTGCAGGGCCGTGCATCTCTCCTCATCTGCCTATTTCTTCCTGATATGCCCCCTTTTGGCCACCCTGCAAAGCAGCACTGGTAAGCCATTCCTTCTCCAAATAGTACATCCATTCTTACAAGACCTGTGGAAGACCAGAAGATTTTGAAGACTCACTAGAACGGGATATGTGGCTTGGAGAAAGAACGGAGCACACGATTTGGAGAATGAGATGTCTGAAGCATCTTAAGAATGGGACTTTTGCCATTCTTCAAATAGTGCACCCATTCTCATGAAACTTGGGGAAGATTAGAAAATGCTGGGGCTGAAATAGAGGCTTGTGGGCGGTGATAGCTGGCTGAGACTGCTGAAGGTTCTGGGCTTCTACTTCAGCCCCTACCCTGCTGCCGAAGGTGCCATTGTGTAGGATGGTCAAAAAGTAATAGATTGGGGGAAAATAGATGATAGGGGGGGTTATTGCCGAGGGCCTGAATTTTAATCCATGATTGTAGAGTGTTGCAATGAGCTCATGGTCTTAAACTCATCTTTTCAGCACCATAGTAATTGAATGGTCATAAAACAAGAACTACCTGTAATATGTTACTCTTAACTGTAGTAAAATGTTTCTGTGTTACTAATTTTAATTTAAGAATGTTTATTTCTACATGTAGTAATGCAACACAGTAGAATGTTTATTTCTACATGTAGTAATGCAATACAGTAGTACAAATAATTTTCATGTTTTTTAAGTGGACCTGATCTGATAATATGATATATTGAATTAGATAATAAACAATTTTTGAAGTGCACAGTGTATTATTGCTAAGTTTAGATACTGAAGTGAAGTATTAGTCTTCAGATATCGAGATCTTTTAGGTTAGTTGATACTGTTAGATATGAAATGTTTATGTCTGCCTTAAATGTGCGTTCAATAAACTTTACATTTGATTGTATATCATATTTCTCCTACAAAATTTCTGTCTGCACCATTAAGAAAAGCAGTTTTTGACAAAACACTGCCATTTCCTTTATTGTTTAATATTTTCTGCCAAATGCTGGTTATGTCACTAAATAATTTTGTATTTCAGAATTTCTGCCTTTACTGTTTTTATAATTCCTTTATGGGGATGTTACTCATACAACTTCCACTGCACCAGACTACTGAATTATTGTTATTATAACCTCTGCTTCTTGCTTTTTAAAATAGAATAGTAAGATACTAATAAAAGTCAAATGTTAAATAAGAAGGCAGCTTCCCCTTAAATTTGTATTGGATTAAACCTAATTATAATGTTTAAAGTTGACTTGCTGAAATCAGGGGACTAATTTCAACAAACCTACTCAGTCTAGTCAAACTCGTGAATTTTTGTTTTTTTAAATTATGTTTGTACATTGATGTTTTTAAAAAGGTGTAACTATTGTAATAAAACAAGAAGGATTTCTTTGCATATGTTCCCATGCTTTCAGAAGAAAAAGGATTTGAATATGCATTATGAACATACGATTCAAAATTTTAACACAGTAAATGGAACACATTGTAAAGAACATTTATGAGGCACCATTACAAGTTTTGGGTTTTGTAATGAACCCGCTTATATGTGGATTTTTTTTTCTAAATTTTTGTTAAAAATTATAAGCATTGAAATTTGGGATAGGAACTGGTTTTATTAACTGGTATGATGTTTTATTACTGGTATGTTTGCAATAAAGACACTAGTAAATCATATTGTGATTTTCTTAAATATTGCAACTTTTGTTTTGTAAATGCTTTTAAAAGGATAATGTGTTCATATTAGGTATGTTCTTTTTTGCATAATTAAGCCAAAACAAAAACAAATTGGCAAAATTACCAAAAATACTGGGCTTGATTGTTATTTATATTCATGAAACTGGAAATATATATTTTTCATCTTTGTCCAAAAAAAAAGTGTGTGAATTTAATAGATATGTTATATAGTCCATGTTACATGCTCTTTCATGCAAAAGTTTTCTAACACAGAATTTTTTTAAACAAATATAAAGAGAAAAGCAGGTTGTGTGAACATAATTTATTACAATGAGCACTACCAGTCTTCTCCTATTGTCCTCTATATTAAGGACTCAAGCAGAAAAAAGAATTATTTTTGAGATTTATTCTGTTTCCTCTGCTCGTCCAAAGTATGATTTATGTCGTGTTATGTTAAAAGAAAAGTATGTCAAAATCTTACTAGGCCCAATAATATATTTTAAGTATTTTTATTCAGATAACTAAGTTGACTATGTACAGCAGGAGTCCCCAACCTATGGGCCGTGGCCTGGTACCGGGCCATGGGCTCTTGGCCAGCGGGCCACAGAAATGGCTAGGCGATGCGTGGAAAAAGATTTATATTTGAATTATATATTATTGACTATTCACTGCAGCGAATCTGCAATTTATTAACCTGCAAAAAGTCTTTGGATAAAAATAGAAAATATCTTCTCTGTTCTTTTTCTTCATCCCTGTTTTATTTATCTACATCATTGAGCTACAACATATCAGATTACAGAGAGAAGGAGAAGGCTTGGGGTGGGGGGAAGAGACAGCCTAGCAACATGCAATCTTTAGCTGGTTTTTTTCCTAACATTTGATGAATTCATAAAGACTGGAAAACATTCTGAAGAAACCGATTCTAAATACTTTAAACCCACAAAAGAAATTTGTTTTCAAAATATTAAATATGGACTCAGAAACCACACAGACTATAGAAAATATTCAGAGAAACATGGACTTAGAAATAACAATCAACTTCATACATCTGGAAGCTCAAACCTCTGCTTTTATGTAATAAGAGAATTCTCTGGGTGGATAATTGGCAAATGGGTCTTTTTTAAGGGTTTGAAGGAGAGTGGGAAATGGATTTGTTACATTTAATTGAGGAGTGATCTAATCTGTTTTTTGGGGGGAAATAGATTGGCTTTGGAGTTTGGGCTTATTGTATTCAATCAATCAGCAACTAATAAGAAATGGTATTTAGAAACAAATCTGGATGTTTGATCCAGGACCAATTAGGGTTAATATTTGGGATGATTTGGGATTGAAGCCATGGTAAATTTTCTACAGGTTAATTACAATAACTGTTAACAGGGTTTTGTCTTTTATTACTATCAATAATTCTTATTACTTTTATAATTTTATATAATATGTTTATTATTATTTTTCCTGTTAACAATTTTGTTAAATATAGTATGTAGATGTCAGGCTAACAATTTGGAAACAGATTTAATAGATTAAAATTCTTTTTGCCTATTTTGCAAGGGGTGGGAAATTAACACTGTTGTATTATATCGATCAGCATTCAACTAGGAAAGATGTGTATATGTGTTAGTCTTTTTTCTTTTTTAAAGACAATTTAATTTTAAAACTCATTTGTTCATTATTAATGTTTTCTCTGTTGTAGTATGAAAACGCACACAGGATGGGTGACATAACAGTGGTATAAAGTTGAAGAAACGTCATATATCATGAATTTTACATTATGAAGGAAATGAAGTACTCTGTTTTATCATTCTTTTTTAATTCTGCAGACAATGGTAGAGTAAATTACTATACATAATATTTGTCTCCCAAATATTTAAAAATATACTGCTTGAAAATGTTATAAGAAACCCAGACATGAAAAATGTGAAAATATGAAAAGAGTAATGAAATTGATTGAAGATCATGCAATTATCTACTTGAATGGGGCAATTTAAGCCATCAAACCTGCTTAGAGCACTAATCCATATTAAAGCACCTCTGACAGATGGCTGCCCGCTTTCTTGGGATACAACCAATGAGTGGAAATGGATGATTGGTTTCATTGTTGAACTGTTTTTACAGTCAGCTGATTTAACATGTAATGGAGATAATAAGTAATGGCAGCTTTGATTCAAATAATTTAATTGAGTAAAAGATGTATTTTCTAATGTACTTTAGAGCCAATCAGTATGATTTAACACTACCTTTTAGATTATATTTTTATCCTTTTTTAAACTGTATGGTTTTGATTTTTTTAAAAGGTATATCTTATTTTTTATTTGAATACAATTAAAAAAAACTAATATACAATACAAAATCATAAAACAAAGTAACAAAAACAAGGCAGATTTTCATGACTCTGTATACATCTGAAAATTCTACACAAACCATTCAACAAACAAATGTTTGTTCTATTTCATTATAATCGTCCACAGATAATCTACATTGATAAGTAATTTCTTGATAATAAAATCTGTTTTGCAAATTGATGAAAACCTGGGGGTCATATGTTTATGTTCCAAATTTTAAAATAAATCTTAACTGAATTACCTAAAAAAAACACCTCCTACTTAATATCAATATGTACTACGTGGCCTATTCGTTTTGCATTCTTCATCTTTCTTTACTTTTAAATGTAGACCTTGGTAGAATCATCTATTAGCTTAATCCCTTTATTTTAACATCAACTATGCATACTTAATGGGGATTCCTTATAAGAGGGATTAGCAGAATATATTAAATTATATTATTTATAATGAAATATTTAATGCCATTTGCAAAATCCTGAAAACCCCCCATCTATATATGGAAATAATTGCTTTTGTTTTTTATGCATAAATTGGTTTTGGGTTTTTTATGCATAAATGTCTAAAATAAGGAAGTGAGCTATAATAGTTTAATATACAGCAGTTAAATCTTATTTAGAAATGATTCTTGAGGGTACAATTGTAACTTCTGAATTAAGAAATGAAAAGCTGCAGAATTTTTTTTTTAGGAATAATGTGAAATGTGTGTACACTACAAAAAAATATATACAGGCAATCAAGGAAACTGAAGATACAACAGATGGAAATCTTGATCATAGTTAATAAAGCTAAAAGTCACAATTGTTCAAGATATTAGCTGTCGTTCTATGTGAAATCTGATTTTTTTAATACATCAGTGACACTCTTCACATCATACAGAACATTGTTTTGTTTTTATACATTGTACAAGGGCAATTCAGAAATAAACCGGAAGTCAGCATGCCCCAACGCTTGTTATGGCTCGTCTGAGTTTTCGTAATGTTTCACAGTAGACTTCTGAATGGATGGTCGAACCACGCTCCATGAACTTGACTAGCAGTACTCCTTTGGCATCTTCACATTTGGTGGGATTTTCTATGGTACCACTTCCAGTGTGGTGTTGGTTCATGATAATACTCGCCCGTACACCACTAGACACACCCAAGAACTTTTGAAGCAGTTCCGTTGGGATGTTTTTTATCACCCCCCTCCCCATAGCCCGGATTTGGCGCCCAGTGACTACCAAGGAATTTCAAACCTTGTAAGACGTTATGACAAGTGCCTCAATTTGAATGGTGATTATGTCAAAAAGTAATGTAATATAGTTTTCTAATGTGTATAATAAACGTTCTGTATCTGAG